TGAACCTCTGGTTCCCCATGTGCACACTGTGAGGGCTAAAATAATTCATCTTTTAAGATCCCTTCCAGTGATATGACTTGGGATAAAGACAGCCAATGAAATAAAATATCATTTGCTGCTTTTTTTGTGCTGACCTTCGTGATGAACTCTGATGGCTAAACTTCAGCCAAGGTCCCTTAATGCCTCCTCAGAAATCCCATGATTTTATATACTTCTGATTATATGGGTCTATTTTTTTCTCAGATTATGGCTTTCCACTAAAAATTGTGGATTTTGGACACCCTAACAAAAGTAACTCTTGCGAAGTATTATATTTACACTCCAGGGCTGATTGAGAGTGGAAACATATTAGTTGATGCCCCACTTACTCTACTTCCCCCTATCAAACCCTAAACTTCCTTTTCTTAGTGGGACAATAGAAAGAAGCAATTTTATTGCCACGTAGGTGTTCTAACCAACATGAGATGGAGAACTCTACTTATTCTCCAAAGGTCCCCTTGGGCTTTGCTGTGAAGAAATAATGGCAATGTTTATAGATTTCAAAAGAGACCCAAGGAACACAAAACTACACTACTTTTAAATTATTTCAAGAATGAGTTCTGGGTAGATGGACTTTCAGGGTAAATAATGGGTTAGTCAGGGAAACAAGGGGAGGACATGCTGAAGCTTTGATCTGAGAGGTATAGAATTGGTCCAAACTGGGATGGCTTGAGCACAGCCTGGAAAGATATGAGATGGAATCAGTGCTGAGAAAGAGTCCATATGAATGAATACAAGATCATCTAGACCAGGGGTGTCAAACTAGCGGCCCGTGGGCCGCATGCGGCCCTCGAGGTCATTTTTTTGTGGCCCACGATGTTCTGAAATAAAATGAAAATAGAAAAAATTGTTATGAAGAAAATAGCGCTTTGGGGAGATCGAGGCAATACCATACACACAATTCCCTCGTTAACCCTTTAACTACTGAAGACGAGTATACAAAAAATTACCTCGAGGGCCACGTGCGGCCCGCGGGCCGCCAGTTTGACACCCCTGATCTAGACCTAGGACACAGAGTGGGGAGAGAAATGCCCACTCAGCAAAAGCTTTTTAAGACTTCTGAAAGTTATGCAAGTATGCAAGTTTTATCAAGTTCTGAGTTTCTACTCATAGTTTTATGGTATTAAAATTATTTTGCTAGATCTAGTTATATAGTATGTTAATACTTTTTGTCTGTTATATGTTTTCTGAATATAGTGTCAATTTATTTTTTGACTTTGTAAGTTATGATATTTTTGACTACCAAAATTACAACTTTATGTGTTAATATTTGTAAGTATTTTCCATTTGACCTATGAATTTACTGCTATGTTTAGGAAGTCCTTCCCACTCCTCTAAAATTATGTAAATATTTAACTTTAGTGTCTCTTATTACATTTATACTTTTCTATACAATTAAATA